CACCACCATGCCCGGCTAATTTTTTCTATATATATTTTTAGTTGTGCAATTAATTTCTTTCTATTTTTAGTAGAGACGGGGTCTGGCTCTTGCTCAGGCTGGTTTCGAACTCCTGAGCTCAAACAATCCACCCGCCTCAGCCTCCCAGAGAGCTAGGATTACAGGGGTGAGTCACCGCACCCGGTCCTTTCATTTATTCTTTCATTTGTTCACTAAATATTTATCAAGCATCTATTATGTGCCAGGCTGTGCACTATGTGCCTTGAATGTAAACCAGCAAGGTTTCGGTAATCAGCTTGGGTTCTGGTGAGAGAGGCAGTCTAGAAATTAGCGTCTACTATACCTCCCTGTCCTGGCTCAGCCAAACCCCTACTTCTGTTCACAAAAGAAAGAGCAGCTCTTTGTGTCGAAGGCAGAGGGGGCCCTCAGCAGGTCAGCCTGGGGATATCTCCACCATGAGGGCACAGACGCCTAAGAAACAGCAGCCTGGCAGCCTGGCCGCTGGGGGCGGCTGCAGCTGTTCCGACTTGCTAGCCAAGAGCCAGTAGGTGAAGGGAGTGGCTTCCTGTTGAGCTGAGATCTTTGGGTCTAGCTTGTATGTCAAGGCATGCCCAGAAAAAAATTTGTCAGGCAGCCCACTAAGGTTCTGTGGAATTTCCATTATAAAAATACAAAACCCAGGCCTGCCTAACAGGCCTGTGCCTGACTCCACCAACGGAGCAGGAAGTCTCAGCCCCTCAGGAGATCCTCATTGTGGGCAAACCCAACCGAGAAAAGATGGTGTCTCAGCTCTGATCCCAGCACTAGCGGGGGGTGGGGGGGGCGGGGGCAGTAAAAGCCCCTCCTGGAGACCCCTGGGGGAAGGATTACTGATGTGCTGACTCTGCAGGAGAATCCCGTGGGATTCACTGGTCTGGGCGAGACCTTCACCCGCAAGTTACATCTCCAGCCAGGGGCTCCGCAGCAAGGTGCTCTCCTGTAGACTGTGATCCGTGCCTGGGACCAACAGCTCACGCTGCGGTACGTGGGTCTGGGGATCAAGGCATGAGGATTTCTACTTGCTCCAAACCCCCATCCTGAACTCCTCTCCTTCATGCAGGTTGTTGGTCCAAATGTGGTTTTGCCCACTGTTGCATTTTGGATGTGGTGGTGGTGTGTGTGTGTGATGGACTGTTTATGCATGATGTCCTGATGTGGTTAAACGGAGGATTTAGTCCATCATTTGGAGAATGAATGGAAATCACACCTGGGCAAGACTGCAGTTAAACTAGAGTACACTGGACTCTGGGTTAGAGTTTTTTTTAAGGGTCCTTGCCACAATCACTTTTGGAAGCAAGATTTCAAGTTTCAGTCCTGCTGGGGAAGATATAGTGAATTTTCAGCTGTAGCAGTGAGCATGGGATCATGACAGGGTGTTCTGGGAAGTAATTATGTAGGAAGTGGGCTGGGTTGGTAGGGGATGGAAGGCACCGGACATGTGGCCAGTCATAGGGCCTGCCACACCCCACCACCCTTGGTAAATGGGACAATCTCAGGCCAACCCCATGACCCTTCAGTGTCTGCACCCCCAGCTTCATGGCATCCGGCAGGCAGCGATGGGAGCAAAGGCCCATTGGCTGCGTCTGCAGAAAGAAGCCAAGAAGTCCATTTGGGGCAAAGACCATGGTGCAGAAACAACAGTCAAAAGGGGACACACTAAGTAGAGAGAACAAACATGCTGGTCGGTAGTGAGAGGGGCACAGAGCGGCAGAGACAGGAGAGGTGGGGGCGGCTGGTCCCCAGGGCCACCCCGGACACTGGTCCGGCGTGTGCCAGTCCACGTGGAAGACTCTGGAAGACCTCTCTTTCCTGAAGACAGATCTGAGTGGATCTGATTCCCCCTGCCTGTAGCTTCCACGGCTCCTGTGTTCTACTCTTTTCCCAGTTCTGGTGTCACTGGCTGTTTACGGGTCTTCCTTATTAGACGACAACTCCTTGAGGCCTGTCTTGTTCACCTGTATAACCACAGCACCTGGCCTGAGGGGAACCTTGTCGGTGCTCATTAATGTTTGAATGAAGATTTGTATTAACACAACTCTTGACCCAGGCCCTTACCCAGCGGCTGTGGAATAAGCAGCGGCGAAGATTTGAGAGTCAGTCCACATACCAGCCACATGCAAGGAGGTGAGCTGGGTCAAAGAGATCCTTTCTGTGGGTCTGAACTGGAAAACGTGAGATGACAAGGCAGCTGGCGGTGGAAGCAGAGCCTTCAAGGATGTGTGGGAAATGGACAAGGAGCTACATGGACACTCTGGTCTTTGGTGTCCTCACTTGTAACGTGGAGATGATTACGTGGGACCTCACAGGTAAAGACAGGAGACCCCAAACTGATGGACATGAGTGTTTTGTGAAGTGTAAAATGAACACGGGTGTACGTGATCAGTATAGATGATTGACAAGGCTCGTGCATTATTGCCAATCTACTTGTGTGACCTTGGACTTTGACCTTAGAGTCCTCTTTCATGCATTCAGGACAATGGTAATTGCTTTGCTGGATTGGTGTGAGGAAGTGAAGTGTAAGGCATAAAAAGTGCCTAGTCCAGCCCCTCCTACCCCATGAGTAACACCTGGGTAGCTTCCTAAAAATACAGATTCCAGTCTGAGCAACACAGTAAGACCCTGTCTCTACAAAAAGTAGAAAAATTAGCTGGGCATTGTGGTTCACGCATGCAGTTCCAGCTATGCGGGAGGCAAAGGCAGGAGGATAGCTTGAACCCAGGAGTTTGACATTACAGTAAGCTATGATCATGCCACTGCGCTCTAGCCCAGGTGACAGAGCAAGACCCTGTCTCCAAAAAAAAAACCCAGATTCCTAGCACTCCGTCTCCCTAAATCAGGATTCTTTGGGGATGGAGCCTAGGAATCTACATTTTAAATAAGGACTCCAGGTGATTGATTAGAGTGATTCAAGAAGACTTTGAGGAACACTGAAAGGATCAGTTAAGGGGGGCATGTGTTTTGGGCCGTGGGGTGGGGAAGACAGTACTGTCACATGTGGCCACAAGGTGGCAGCAGGGAGCGGCAAGGAGAAACAAGTGTGCCGGGTGTCCACACCCAGAGGGGCCGACAGGCGGACGTGGGGATCGGGCTGTGGAAGGAGGTGGGCCCTGTATTGAGCGTGGTCTCGTTTGCCAGGTAGAGTCTGTGTTACTGCAGGCTAATCCCCTGTGGCCACCTGTCTTATTCCCAAGTCTTTATAGAGACTGTTTCTTGCCAAACTCTGCCGACAGGAATAGCATTACTGTGACTTTGACCGGGCTGTGGGTGGTGACGGTGTGTGTTCCACATGGGTGAGTGTGGGAGGCAAGGGGTGTGTCACATCCCCAGATACGTTCATTGGGCAAAGCCATTTCCACAGGCAGCTTACTTGAAGGACACCCGTGCATGTTGAAAGCAGCGTCCCTATTCCCCGCTGCCGGGCTTGTGGTTCCAGGTGCTATTAGAGGCCTGCTTTTCTCATGAGAGGATCAGGTCTGTGGCTGGGGAGCTGGCTGAAGCCCAGGCAAAGGATGCTGGGATGGGGTGGGGGCAGGGACAGGGAACTCAGGATAGGGCAGCTGCCTCTGGAAGCAGCCAAAATGTCCCCAGTTGCAGCGGAGGTGGGTAGAGGATTAGGTGACAGTCCCCTAACCCAGCCCGGAACTAACACCCTCCTCCCCCTCACACACGCACCCTGGCCTGCCCCTCCAAGCCTGCCAAAGCTCAGAATAACCCTGAGAACCAGACAGCAGGATGGCGGGGGTTCTGCCTGGTGCCCTGCTCCTCTTGGGGCTCCTTGGTATGGACAGGGTCAGGGGAAGCAAGTGGACTCACTGACATAAGGGGACAAGGGGAGCAAAGAAACAGACCAAGGCATAGTCTGGGACAAGATATTTGGTCCCCAGGAGCAATATCATTGGTTCAGGAGAAAGACACAGAAAAATATACAGCCTCAGAGACCTGTGCAGTCCCAGAGGGGGGTGCTGCAGCCTCTTCAGCTCCAACGTCCCTTCCTTCTTGACCCTATCCCAGGCAGCAGCGAGGGGAAGAATGAGGAGTTGCGTCTTTATCACCATCTCTTCGACAACTATGACCGAGAAAGCAGGCCAGTGAGGGAGCCTGAGGATACAGTCACCATCACCCTCAAGGTCACCCTGACGAACCTTATCTCACTGGTAAGATCTCCCACCCTCATCCCAAGCCTGAACTCCCATCACTGAGCCCCAACCACCGAGCTCTGTCCTGAAGCTCACTTCTGGCCGTGAAATCCCACTTCAATTATCCCAATCTCCCCTCTGCAGAATGAGAAAGAGGAGACTCTCACGACTAGTGTCTGGATTGGAATCGTGAGTCAAAGCTGGGGAACAGTGTGAGGTCTCGCCCCGGGGACCCCTTTCACCCGAACTTCTCCCAGGCAGCATCAGGTGGGAGATGCAGGGCAACACCTCTTTCCATCCCCCACCCTTTAGGATTGGCAAGATTACCGACTCAACTACAGCAAGGACGACTTTGGGGGCATTGAAACCCTGTGGGTCCCTTCAGAACTCGTATGGCTACCGGGGATTGTGCTGGAAAACAAGTGAGGACCAGGCTGGATGCCAGGCTGGAGGGAAGCCGGCCTGAGGGGCTGGGCTGGACTTGGTTGGGGCAGGGGGTGCTTGGAGGAGGTACGGACCTGTGCGAAAGCTCGGTTTCCCGAGCCCACAGTATTGATGGCCAGTTCGACGTGGCCTACTACGCCAACGTGCTGGTCTACGAGGGCGGCTCCGTGACCTGGTTACCCCCGGCCATCTACCGCAGTACCTGCACCGTGGTGGTCACCTACTTTCCCTTCGACTGGCAGAACTGCTCGCTCATTTTCCGGTGGGAAGTTACCCAGAGGCCTGGATGATTATGGGAGGGACCTGGGGCAGGGGCGGGGCCAGATGGGAAAAGTGGCATCCCTGGGGCGGGGCTTTGTGCTGGAGGCGGAACCAGGCCTTGGAATGGGGTGGGTTCCAAGCAGGGGTGGAAAGAGGCGTGCAGGCTGTGCCTGGGTAAAGGCGTGGAGCCTTATTCCTGGACAAGGTCCACGCTTTCAGGCCTGGGCTTGAGGCTGGGGCCCAGGTCCGAGCTTCTGGGGTGGGGGCCCGGGCCCCCGGCTCTGCAGCTCGCAGACGTACAATGCCAAAGAGGTGGAGTTCACCTTTGCCGTGGACGACAACGGAGAGCCCATCAGCAAGATCGATATCGACACTGAGGCCTTTACTGGTGAAGCCCCCTCTTGCTCCTAAAAACCCGCTTCTAGATGGGGTCTAAAGAGGAGAATTTCAGAGTGGGGTTGCTCCAGACCAAGGATGCGGGGATTGACTTTGGCAACAGGGCTTTTAGCTTGCCCCTTTCCTGAAATCATTCTCGGCTGTCACTCTAGTCCTCCCTTCTCGCCTGAGGTCTTTCCATACCCTCACCAGGAATGCCCTTTTCTGCCCCCATCTTGATGGCCCATGGCCCAGGCAGTCCACCCTGGCCCAGAATGCCGCATCCTCCTCCTCGGCCCAGAGTTACAGGTTTCTGCGGTCAGGTGTGCGGCCAGAAAGCAGCGCAGGGCGCCCAACCTCCAGAGCGGGCTGACCGCACTTCCCTCTTCCCTCCCGCAGAGAACGGCGAGTGGGCCATTGACTTCTGCCCCGGAGTGATCCGCCACCACGACAGTAGCTCTGCTGACAGCCCTGGGGAAACCGACGTCATCTACACGCTCATCATCCGCCGGAAGCCTCTCTTCTACGTCATTAACATCATCGTGCCCTGCGTGCTCATCTCGGGCCTAGTGCTGCTCGCCTACTTCCTGCCGGCGCAGGGTAAGGAGTCTCCCCACCCTGAATCGGGCTCATTCCCGGAGGCGCGACCCCCTCTCACTGGGCGCTCCCTCCAGCCGGCGGCCAGAAATGCACTGTCTCCATCAACGTCCTGCTCGCCCAGACCGTCTTCTTGTTCCTAATAGCCCAGAAAATCCCAGAGACGTCTCTGAGCGTGCCGCTGCTTGGCAGGTGAGGGCGGAGTTGGTCCCGGCTGTCACACGCGGGGGCGTGGCCGATGTGAAGGGCGGGGCCAAAAGGGGGTGCCGGCGCAGGGGCGCCGCCAAAACCAAGCGACTCTAGGAGCAGCTTTGGCTGTCTCATCCCCTCCTGGGCTTTATTGGGACGCGGGGTGGGGCTGGGACGGTGGTGGAGCTTCCGGTCCCGCGTCCTCTGCGCTGTTGCTAGACGCCGCCTTGAGGTCTCCCGAGTATCTCTGTTGGCGGGCGGTCCGGCTCAGTGCCTCCCAGCCTCGCTGCCTCTGGCCCCCCAACTCACCCCCATCCTGAACTCACCGGTTCCCCGGGGATCCCGAGGCCCAACTGCCGTCGCCACTGTTGCAGGAATGAGGCAGATCCCTGCAGGCCCCGTCCACACAGGCACAGCCTCGCCCCCTGGACGAGGAGCCGGGCGCTGGCGCCTGCCGAAGCCCCAGCGTGCAGAGCCCCCTGCCCGGCGGCCTGGGCTACCCGGGCCAGCGTTCTACCCGGATCCCCGGCGTCTGGGGCTCGGCCCGGGCTGCCGTCGTCGCCGTCCAGTCGCCGCGCCTTTTGCTGCAGCCACAGGGCTGAGATCTGCATTGGGGGTACAGGGGTTAGTGGAAGTTCGGAGGTTCCTGCTCCCGCTGCCCTAGCCCCCCTCCTGGACTTCTCTCCCCGCCCCACCTCTAATAAGGTGGCGCCAAAGCTAATGATGCTGGCCGCGGCTTCTCTTAGCACCAGCCCCAGGGTGGGCTTCGGGGCAGGCAACTTTCCCAGCTCCTTCGGCTGCCGGGGCTCCAGGGACCTCAGCTCTCCGAACCTCTGCTCCAGATACTCATGGGCTGCGGCCACAGAGAGTTCCAGGGAAGACAGGAGCGGGGGCTGGAGAGCCACCTGGAGGAGGAGCAGGGGCAGTGGAGTCATCAGGTCACAGGGCAGGGGTCACGGGGGAGGGAGGAGGAGGAGCGCTGGAGACCTACCCAGAGGGTCTCGAGGTGCCGCCCTTGGGCGGGGCCGTTGGCGGAGTCTCACCTCGGTGGAGCTGTGGAAGTGGTAGACCCACAGCAGGGTGTCCAGGGAGCTGGGGGTCCCCTTCATGGCCGCCACAGGTGGTAGGGGGGGCAGAAGGGCCGGGAGACGCGTCTGGCCTCGCCGAGGGTGAGCAGCTCGGGGGCGACCCCAGCCCAGGCGGACAGAAGGTGTCTTTGTGAGCTCAGACGACGGGCGGCGCCCTCTGTGGCGGGGGTGGGGTGGGGAGCCGTGACGTCATGCATTCGGGGCTCCGCAGGTACCTTATTTTCGTCATGGTGGTTGCCACGCTCATTGTCATGAATTGCGTTATCGTGCTCAACGTGTCTCTGCGGACGCCCACCACTCACGCCATGTCCTCGCGGCTGCGCCACGTAAGCGCGGGGCGGGGCGGCCCTGGGGTGGGAGGCGGGGCTTCGAGCTAATCCCCGCCCCGACCCCAGGTTTTCTTGGAGCTGCTGCCGCGCGTCCTGGGCTCCGGGTCGCCCCCCGAGGGCCCCCGAGCCGCCTCGCCCCCAAGGCGGGCTTCATCAGTGGGTTTATTGCTCCGCGCGGAGGAGCTCATACTGAAAAAGCCGCGGAGCGAACTCGTGTTTGAGGGGCAGAGACACCGGCACGGGACCTGGACCGGTGAGCACAGTGGACCCGACAGGCCAACAGGGGCACCTGCAGCGGGGGAGGCTCCTCATGACCCATCCCCGGCTTCGCCCCTGCCAGCTGCCCTCTGCCAGAGCCTGGGCGCCGCTGCCCCAGAGATCCGCTGCTGTGTGGATGCCGTGAACTTCGTGGCCGAGAGCATGCGAGACCAGGAGGCCGCCGGCGAGGTGGGGCACTGCAGAGGCCCCCACTGTCCTGGGCCTGCCGCTGGCTCTTGCAGCTGTCCTTTTACTGACTCAGTTTGTGCCATCCCTTCCCCAGGAGGTGTCCGACTGGGTGCGCATGGGGAAGGCCCTTGACAACATCTGCTTCTGGGCCGCACTGGTGCTCTTCAGCGTGGGCTCCAGCCTCATCTTCCTTGGGGGCTACTTCAACCAAGTGCCGGATCTCCCCTACCCACCCTGTATCTAACCTGAGCCCGCACCAACTTCAATTTCTCCACCCATTTCCAGTAGGAAGTAGATTCTGAAAAAAGCTGCTGCCACCACTGTATTACGCTCCTTTTCCACTGCTGACAAATCTGTATGTTGTGATCTTCCCAAGAGCAATGGTATGGGCTCATGTGCATAGGTCTGGCCCTAGGCCAGAGGTCAACGAGAGGGCAGATGGTGCAGGTGGGCTCTTGGGTAACAATCCTATGGAAAGCAAGGATTGCCCTCCTCAGGCACAGCCCCAGCCCCAGCCCCAGGTGACTCTGGAGCCTGTGAGCGTCTAAGCTACTTTGTCCTTTTGATAGCCAGAGAGGATAGACCTCTTTGCGGGGATTGCACACAGGGAGCCTGGAGCGAGGAAGCCTTGTCATTCTCTGGCCTGGCCCTGCTGGGGTGAGTGGGGACCAAATACCCTCAGTGCAGGTGGTCTTCAGGCCCAAACGTTTAGGGCTGAGGATGCCCTGGCCCTCCCGCAGTCATTTCTTCCAGGTTTTCTTGGCCCAGCACTGCCCACCCCACTCCACCCCCATTAAGACTCACTCATTGCAGATCCCACCCTACCCTGCCCCTTTCATCCCAACTCTGCAAGCTGTCTCTGGCTAGTATCTAGGATTGTGAGAGGAAACAATAAAATGGGGTCTGAAAGGGTAGGAGCTGGTTGAATTGTCTTTATTAACAAACGGGATATCCAAGGCCACTACATTGAGGAGGGGTGAGGGGGGGAGGAAAAGGGCTACTTGCTGCTCACACTATATACAGATGCAAGCAAGAGGGGGTGGAGGGCGAGAGCGTCCTGCTCCCTCACTCCACCAGGGAAGGGCAAAGGCAAAGAGGAGGGGAGGGGGTTGGGAAGGGGGGAATGTTTTGGCTGGCGGGGTCCCCCCTCCATTCCCTGGGGTTTGGGGGGAGGGGAATCATTAAAGTGCTTTCAGAAAATGAAGAAATGGTCCCTGCCCCTGGAGTGGCTGGTGACCCCCCAAAAACCTAGGGCCCAGTGACCCCCCCCAGGGTCTGGTACATTCAAGGGGGGAGCCGGCTCCCCTGACGTGCAAATAAAGGGGTCCAGGGCCCTGCCCAGTCAGCAGCAGTGGGGTAAGGGGTCCAAGCCCCAGCGCTCTCCTCTTAAGTGGAGAAAGCGGGGGAGGGGCTAGGCCCACTCGATTCCTGGTAAGGGGAAGCTGTGTCCCTCCCCAGAAGTTGGGGACAGGCACAGTTTTGGGGAGAGAACATGTTGGGGGGAGATAATGGTCACGTGATCACAAAAGCATCGGGGGTCAGAGGTCACGTTCCCAGCAGGCTCCAGTGAATCAAACCAGTAAAAGCAAAAGCCCAGGGAGGGGAAAGAGGGGCGGCCTGGGAAGTCTGGCTGTGGGGGGAGAGCTGGGTCCAGTGTGGGACAGCCCCAGCCCAGGGCCCCGTCACCAGTTCATGATGCAGTTACGGTTCAGAGTCATGAAGTAAACTTGGCTGCTGCCCCCAGAGCGGACCGAGGCAAAAAACACCTGGGTAAGGTGTGAGAAGAAGTCACTGAGGGTTGGGCTCTCAATTAACTGGGAGAGGGAAATTGGGACAGAGGAAGTAGGGGACAGAGAGAGAGGGAGGGAGCAACTATAGAATGAGCTAGACTGCCTGCCTCATCCCTGTGAAAGGCTGAAATGTTGAGGAAGAGGGGACGCTACCAGACCAGACCCCTGGGGTGCAAGCATCCGCAGTGTTCTCAGGAACTGAAGGCAGGGAAGGGCAGAGGCAGTGCCTGCACACTGCACCCCCAGGGCGCCCCCTTTCAGGAAGATGCCACCACTATGCCTCACCCAGAACCCTGCCCAGGGGCCTCGGGTCATAGGGACCAGCACAGCACAGAGGGAAAAAGCCTCCCACCTTGTCATTCCGCTCACACAGGAACTTGAGCCTCTGGGCTCGTTTGTGCATGAAGACCCCGTCCAGGTGGCCTGTCTCCACAGAGCGGATCTCAATGGCTTTCTCACCCCAGCCCATTATCTGGTTGGAGCAGATGTAGGCTGCGGGGAGAAGGCAGGTGAGGGCTGAATGGCTGCAGCCCAGCCCCTCTCCCAGGATGCGCTCCTGGGCCACCTCAGGGCACGCGGCTCCGAGGGCGGCACCTCACTCACCCACAGAGGTGGGCATCTCTCCCCACTGCAGCACCACGTCTTTGATGATCCGCCCATACGTGTTGACGTAGACGCCCTCGTCCTCGTAGCACAGCAGCATCTCCATGCCGTCGGTATTGGGGAGGAAGATGATGGCATGGGGCGTGATCTGGCTCTGGATCTGGGGAGGAGAAGGTGTGCTGGAGTTCCCTCATCTGGTGCCCAGACTGGGTGGTCCCACCCTCCTGCAGCCCTGCCCAGCTCACATGCACAGGGATGTAGATGTCGTAGCTGTTCCCCGAGTCAACATCCACTGCGTGAAAGCCAGCACTGGAGCCGTAGATGACCTTGAGCCGCTGCCCCTCCTCTACCGTCAGGTCGACCAGCAGAGGGCGGTGAGGGAGGTCAGCAAAGGACTGTGGAGGAGAGAAGGGCTCAGCCGGGACAGGGAGAGGGGCTGAACCTTGGGGCAGGGCTGGCGGGCTGAGGCTGGGATTACCTTGAAGGCCATGAATTTGTGGTAGGGTTTGGGGGCCCAGGCATAGACCTCCACGGAGTTCTTCAGGGCAATGACCAGGAACTTAATACGCTCGTATTTCACTGGGGACAGGAGAGAAGAGGGATGCGAAGGCTGACCTTCTTGGGCCGCCACCCCTCCTGATGGTCGTCACCACACTGCCCCATCCCAGGCCCCAAAGTCTCTGGCTTCAAGGCTTTCTTAGCCATTCGGCCCAGGACTGGTTTCTTTCTTCTCATGAACGAGCAAGCCCCGGCCACCCTGTTATGGCATCCTCACCGACTCGGTAGTGCCCGCAGCCCTCCATGTCCCCCACGGTGGTCCAGCCCTGCTTCTTCTCCACTTCTGGGTCATTGTGCAGAATCTTGTTCCGAAGCCATGACAGGTAATACACCCGCAGTTTGTTCCTTTTCCCTGAGGGACAGATGGACAGACACACATACATACACACACGCGCACACTCATCTTCATCAGAGGCCCAGCTGCTGCCTTCCTGCCATCGTCTGTCCACATACCACAAGCGGTGAGAAAGTGTGGCCCCCCACCGCCCAGCTCCTGAAGCAAGGCTGCCCTCCTCCCGGGGGGAGGCGGTGACACAATGCCAAGGAGTTGAGCCCCTCCCTGCCCTGCACACTCTGTTCCTCGTGTACCTGAGATGGTGATGAGCAGGTTGAGTCCCTCCAGCACATCCATTTGCTGGAAGCGTCGCCGCCCAATGAGTCCATACACCTTGCCCTGCCCACTTCGGTCCAGCAGCATCAGTCCGTTCTCCGTGCCCACCAGCAGGTTGACCCCTGCAACAGGAGCCCTTTGGCAGGTCAGAGGCCAAGCCAGGCCCTCACCTGACCAGGAGGACGGGAGTGCGCCAGACCCCTCTCAGCTGTCCCAGCCCCAGCTTACCCCAAAGGGCTGCACAGAGGATCTCAGAATTGAATCTCTTCTTGTACTTGCGAATCTCAGGAGTTTCACTGTGGGCCCGGGTGTTGGTGGGGTTCACATTGACCACAGAGCCCTTCCTCACGTCATACTGCAGCTGATCAAGCCGAGTACCCTCTCCACCCACTAGGGCTGCCAGGAGGAAGAAGAGGGAGGATGGGCTACAGCCCTCTTACCCCTGTCTCTCTTTATCCCCATCCCCCTCCATCTGGCCTTGGATCTGAGCAATCTCAGAACACTCAGAGGAGAGGGGAAAGACTAGAGAACAGAGGAGGTGCAAGGAAGATACAACAGAGCACTGGACTCCAAGTCAAGGGCCTGGCTCAACTCCTAGTTCTGTCACTTATTAGTTTTGAATCTTTGCCCAGGTCGCTTGGCCTCTCTGAGCATTTTTCCTCTTTTGCCGAGGGATCTCAGAAGCCCTTCCCCGCCTCTGTGCCAGGGCAGGCGCTAAGGCCCATGGGAGAGGGGCTATGCCTGCACTTTGTAAAGCTGCGTCCTCAGAGGACCACTTGCTCCCCCTCCAGGCCGCCTCTGGACCCCAGCCTCACAGATCTGTCCTCCCATCCTCACCTGTGATGGGGATGGTGTCCCCACTGCCTCCGGGCTGGTAGATCCCTAGATCCACAAACATCGTGAACGAGCTCTTGCCAGGGGCCTTTACTAGCCCACGGGACTGGTACTGTAGGGAGGTCAGCAGTCAGGCAAACGAACGCGACCCCAGCCCGTGGCCCTGCCCTGCCCTGCTCTTGTCCCCAGGCCCCAGCTCCCCCACCGGAACCCCTGGCCATGCAGCTCAAGGTGCTCTGCCGCCCCCACCACAAGGGCCCAGCACCCCGATCTCCTGCACACTGCCGGGCTCTTCTCTCCCCACGGATCTGCCTCCAGCCCACTTACGTCGCCGCCTCCATCCTTTGAGGGTGGGCTTTGACCTTTGCTGTTCTCGGTGGGCGAGTGGCTGGGCTGGACCACGTCGGGCAGGTTTGGGTAACCGTTGCTGTCAGCGTGCAGCAGGCTCCGCTCCTCTTCAGGGGTCTACAGGACAGAGGGAAGGGTCAGCGCTGGGGCTGAGGCGGGCACACAGCAGGCACGGGCCATGGGTGAGGGAGGCCCACTCACACGCTGGACCACCATGGTGCCACCCCCATATGGGGGCTGGGTCCCGGGGATCTCCTCGACGTCGTGGACCACCATGGTGCTGACGCTGTCTGTGTCGCCATCGCTGCTGTGGGAGAGAGGAAGGTGGGGCCCTCCAGGTCCTGCCTGCCACACGAGTGCCATAGGAGGCAGATGACAGCCAGAGACTAAGGCTTTCAGCCTCTATTCAAAACGTGACTGGCTCAGCCCTCACGGAGCAGCCCCGCTCTGCTCCACCGTGAGGTGTGCCCTGCACGGAGCGCAGGCCAGGTTGGCACGGGGCAGAGAGGCACCTGAAAAGGCGCACTCCACAACAGGACACCAGCACCCTCACCCCATTCTCTGGAGAATGGGAGCTACCTTACTTCAGACTTGCCCACGGCCCTGTCCCCTCCTCCTCTGCCCACATCCCTCCTCTCACTAGGCCTCGAGCAGGAGGGCCCCGCCCCCAGGACACCCCATACCGGCCCCCAGGGGTGTCTCTGCTCCCTTCTGATGGCTCGCCATCGCCTTCCTCCTCCTCCTCTTCGCTGCTCTCCACTTCCTCACTGGACGATGAGTAGTCCATGGCCTTCTTGGGAGGCCGGGGGGCTTCATCCAGGGTCCGCTCTTTCAGCAACACGAAATCCTGCAGGGGAGAAGATGCATGAGGGGAGGGCAGAAGGTGGGCTCAGGCGGGGATGGCACAAAGGAGAGGAGACTGGGCAGGGTAGCAGGAGAGGGCTCCCACAAGCAGGCCACACCTCACTAACCTCACCAATCGCTCGCTTATAGCTCTGGCAGGGGCCGCAGGGCAAGAAAGGCAGCCGGAGAGGCAGGAGAGAGGTTGGAAAGGTTAGTGGTGTGAGCAGTGCCAGCCCCGCCAGCCCCACAGTCCTTCTCAGCAGATTAGTGAGGGCCCTGCCCCTGCCTCCCAGGGGCTCCAGAGG